CTTAAGATTCTACAAATTTACCTTCCCCCTACATCCTGCTATTCCTCACCACTAGCATACAATTATAGTACTTAAATGAAAAACAAACAGATGGAGTTACAGCTTACAAGCTATTTTGACTTGAGAAACATGTTACGATGAATTCTTGTGTGAGATATGAAAACTCCTCTCCAACAAACCCAAATCAAACACACAGGAGAAGAAAAATAATTTGAGATATGATACAGACTGCAGATATATACAAATATGATATGATAATATGCAGTTTAAAAGATGTTAGCCTTTAATAAGATAAGGTTATGCTAAAGAAAATCAAAAGAAATAGGCATGTGCAGTAAAGCAAACCTTACGTATCAGTTTAATTGTACTGTTGAGAGCTATATCTAAAACTCAAACTCGAAGTGTTTTATCTCTACACTGCTAGGCCAAGTGAACACAGATCTCGACGCCCTGTATTCTACAGCAAACTAATGAATTCATTTTATAGCAGGAAACATTGTACAACATTATAACAGTGTTCTTAAGCATGTCTATTCGAATTATGAGGCATAAATACAGTTAGCATACTACTCGTAACATAGTATTCATGGTTGCTGAATACATAATGAACATTGGGATCTCCCTCATGTCAAGATCAAGAACAAGCATTTCAACCTTATACATCCTCCGGTGAGGTTAGTCTAGAAAAGCTACTAACTAAAAAATTCTACAAAATTAAGAGCTTCAGCTCAATGGATATTATGCAGTAGCAGTCACTTAAGTTTCCTCAAACCTCAACTAAGAATAGCAAAAACCATTAACAACCTTAAATAATAGATGATTCGCTACAAACCTATTGCATATGATACAGAAGGAGTTAAAATTTTCAAGACCATGGTTTATGTTACTAACCATACTTAGAAACAAACAAGTGAAAGAAACTTCTAAAATCAACAGGAAATTAACATTTCACGAGCATTTCGTTTCACTCTTGTCATTCTTGTGCATTATGATGTACTTGCAGAGTTTCTCAGCAGGATCAGTCTAATGCTCCGCAAGTACATCATAGCAGCTATCTACCAAATTTACGATACCATTATCATCTTTTTTCATTTATATTCTAATGCTTTGTTTTATAAGATATTCCATTGTATTATTCATCTCTATCTTCTAGCACCCTCTTGTGCTTTTACCATGATGGTGAGGCTAATCCAGTTGCTTTGCTTCTCTCTTCGACCATGATGTTGAGGCATCTTTGGTTCTCTTCTTTTGCTGACATACTTGAGACTGTTGTGAATCGTGTCATATCAGAGTGCAAGTACTGGACAAAAGATTTTGGCGGAGACAGCACTATCTAGGAGATTGTTGACGTTGTCATTGCCAACCTCGACTAAATGGGTGTTCATTTACCATTTTTAAGTCTTGTTGACCAGCCCTCGTTTACCATGGTGGTGGTGAACTGTAATGAACATGGGTGCTGGTGGAGGGGACCTGTATTGGAGAGAAGAAGAAGGAAAAAAAAAAGTAAGGTACCAAACGACGTCATTTTTTATTTAGGTGGATTCCTCAATGGTGACTTAGCATTTTAACAGTACATGTCAGAGATGTTATTCACGGCGTTAGAGTCCCACTAACAGAAGGACTGACGTGGGCCTAATTTGTAAAATTTATGGACCACGATGTCCCTTTTTTATTTCTAGGGACCAAAAAGGACTTCGTGATATTGCCAGAGACCAAAAAAGATATTTACTCTAAAAATTATATTATCCTATCAGTCTCATATCCTATCATACTCTTATGTGACCCTCTTATCCTATCTATTCTTATGTTATCATATCCAAAAAATGGAGCCAACATAAAAATAAAATATTAAAAATTATATTAATGCTAATCTTTTATTTTTGATATCTAACATAATACTATGAATTACCTGCGCCAAACTACATTATTTTTGTGTGTTTTTTTTTTTTGTGGAAACTATTTTTGTGATTTTAACTGTGGTTGCTATCCTTTATTTTAAATCTTCAGCCATTTACGAGCTAACTTTATATTGAAAAAAGAAAGATATCTACCATGCATGAGAAAAAGAAACAAGAGAAGCATGAGCGTGAGAATGAACAATATGGTACGAATGATGGAAACGTATTAGATGGAAGATAACTACTATGAGAAAATGATAAAGAACTCTATTAGCACGAGAATGAACAATATGTTATGGATGATTGAAACATGATATAAGGCATATGTGGAAGACATCTATTAGATAATTTTGATGCGAATAGAAAAAAAAATGTTACATTAATTTTGTATTCGGAATACGTTGATTTCCAATATTTTATTAATCATTATATACAAGATGTTTTGTTTTTGTCAATGTGTAAATAATTTGATTATATATGATAACGTTTTTATGACGTGATCATATTATTCATATGTTATTGAATACATGTAAAAAAATTAATAATTTTTGTAATAACTGAATAGCAAAACATAACAAGATTTAATACTTGATTCAGTTTCGAACATGACAAGCAACTTCATTCTTGAAAAAGACTAATATTTTAATGTATTTTCTTAATTTTAAGAATATTATATCTTAATCATAATTTTATATTTATTTAGTATTTGGTTACCATTGACATATAAATATCCATTAAGTGCATTACTATGCAATAAAGTCTTGAAATGAATGAACTAAAATTACAGTCTTTGCCAAATTGAGCTTCAAGAAAATTTCCCATCAATTCTTTTAATTGACGCCATAATGCGACTCTGGGTCAAATTGTATTTGTCTATGAAGCACAGACACTTCAAAAACTCTAACGTGTCGTGTCCGACACTCTCGGACACTCCGATACTCCCCGACACTCCAACACGCGTTATAGAAATTTAAAAAAAAGATTCAAAAGTTAAGTTGCGTTGAGTTTTTTTTTTTTTTTTTTGGTAATCTTGCGTTGAGTTTTTAGTTCCAACTATTAGATTCGTTGGATTACGATTACCATTTTATTGAGTTTAATATAAATATTTGGGATATCTTATGTCTTTTTGCAAAATTTATGAATATTATAAGTTTAGATTCATTTTTTGTTAAATTATTGAATATTAAATATAATATATACTACATAAATTAAAAATATTATTTAATATCAAAACGTGTCCTAACGTATCGAAATCTAACATTTTTTAGAATTAACGTGTCGGAGTGTCGTGTCGTGTCGTATCGTGTCACGTGTCCCGTGTTAGCATCGGTGCTACATAGGTATTTGTTGCCCAACGGTCCGGAAGAGTCAATTTTATTGCATCAATAAAATAATAATGCTTTGCAACATTGATTTTCCACAATGGTAGTGATCTATGTTCTGTAGAGTATTTTCCTAACTTGTGTAAACAAAGCAAACAAATTTGATCCAGAGCAAACTCGGCAGCCGCATTGGACATTTGCTTATAATTAGGTAACAAATAAAGATACATGGTTGTTCATCAACCGATCCAAACTGATTCAAACCACGGTGACCGAATTGAAAAACTGATAACCGAAATTCGAAAAAATGAAAACAGAAAAAAAATCGCAAAATTTAATTGGATTGAATCGATTTTCGGTTTGGTTAATGAAAATAGATTCAATTCAAATCGATCCAATGAGATCTATTCAAATCGATCCAATGATTCTTCTACCTTACCCTCTACCTACTTGGGTCTTTCCTCAATCATAGCCCAAAAAATCATATAGCAAAATTTTAAATCTAAGACCTATTAACTCATCATGTTGGAGAAAGTGGATTGTGCTTTATCTATGTTATGCTTTTTCTTTTGGGTAAAATACATTATATATTTTTATTGCATGGGTTATTGTTGTACAACAACTCTTCTATAGGATGAAAATTTGGGTTACCCCGCAACCACATTGTAAATTTTTTTATTGGAGATAAAAGATGGTAATTCAACTTTTTGTTGTACTATACTGAAAATTAGATTATCGTTTACCGATGCTTCTAGATTGTACAATAATCTTCATAAAAACTTTACAAAGCCGATACATACAAAAGATATATTATTTGCACAAAAATCGATCCAATCCAAGCCAAATAAAATTGAATTGGATTGGATCAGATTTGAAAAACAAAATTCAAACTGAATGGATGATTACATAATCAAACCGAAGGAATTGGATCAGATAATTTTTGCTTCAAAAACCTATCCAATTCAAACCGCGAACACCCTACATCCATATATATATAGTACATATCTAGCGTTTCTGCCATCCCAACCATGCGAGAGTGGATGTCAGAATTATTTTCTATAATACCAATTTCATAATTTATTTTCTTTCCTAATTTGCCAAAAAAAAAAAAACTCACATGAAAACAATTTTTTATATATATAATTTGACGAAATCGGCATTATTAATATGGAATAATTATATACCATATCAATCTCTTAATATGGAATATAATATTACATTATTAATCCAACAATCATATCAATACCAATAGGAAAGTACTAATCTCCTTAGAATGAGAAAAGATGCTCGATCAATAATATTAAATGTTTCATTAACAATCTGTGTAAATTGTTCTATAGTTCATGAATTCCCTAGCTCCATCACACGGATGAGACTTGCCAGTATAAAATATATTCTTTTTTCTTAAAACATTAGATATATTCTAATATGAAAAGAATAGTTCCTTAAGAATACATGTAAAAGAGTTACTTAAAGTATGTCAAACATTAAATTTTAAATCTTTGCTCTAAGTTTGTAATTCCTTATTTAAGAAAATGACCAAACATGAGTTCAGAAAGTAGCATATGATTTTATTAAGTCATTCTTTAATCAAGAAAAAAGAAAGAATTTTTTTTATATTCCTAGATCTGTAAAGAACAAGACTAGTGATAGTAAGAAATTCAAAAAGAATAGCAATGTTTACAAATCTTCCGATTAAGAAACAATACAAAACATTGTTATTCAAAAAAAAAGAAACAATACAAAACATTGATAATCTGTGTCTATTAATATCCTAGAGTTAGACCATATCTACTAATTTATCACCTGCACACTTAGGATTTTGTTTAGCCAAAGATTGACGACCAATCTTCTTGAAATCCACACTGCAAGAATGCTCTTCTGGGTATCTATGTCTTCCACAAAACACATCACCGCAACGGCACTCGAACCCTAATAATCGAACATTTTTGTTGCAGATCTTGCACCTCTTTTTCTTGGTCTTCATGGTCTCGGAATCAGTAAGAGAAATCGCAGCAAAATCATCAGTGATAGTGCTCTCAGAAGCATGTGTAGGTGATTGATCAACAACAAAGGTTTCATCCTTCAAGTTCTTGGTTTCATCTTCCAGACCTTCACGTGATTTAACGATGTTTTTCTTGAGAAAATCATCGTAACACTTTGAACAAAGGTTATTGCTTGCAGAAGAACCGTAGAAGCCACAACCGTTAGCACAAAGTGATGGAATCATGTTGTTTGACATAGTTTGGTACACGAGATCTTGATGTCAATTTGCAAATTTGGACAAAGAAATAAGAGACTAAGGAATAAAATTGATGGATGATCGAATGCGCTGTGTTAATATTTATATTGGATATATAACGGCATGACGCGTAATATCCTCAACATCGTATCTTATGATTAATGATAAACATGTTCAATCGATAATTAAACCATCCAAATCAATCCAACAAGATAGTATTGATTCAAATTTATTTTCCAAAGTGAGAATCGTATATATGCCTCATTTAGATTATTATTTTTATTATTATCACCAATTTACAGCTGTATTTATTAAATTTTAAAAAAATTAATTCAGGTAATTTCATTTTATTTAGGTGATAAAATATATCTTTTATCTTTGAAAAATTCTTTAAGAAGGCTTAAATTAATTAGCTCCTTTTTCTTTAAATTTAAAATTTAACTTTTGAAATTTGATTAAATAATCTTAATTTGTATTAACATTCATTCAGATAACATTAACCGTTGCCAGAATTATGTTTTTATTTATAATTTTATACTATTTCATGTACTGCAAAAGTGTGAATGTGTTGTTATTGTAAAGATTTTGGATCTTTTAAATTTGAGGATATACTTTGGAAAAAAAATTGACATCGTTATACTATTTCCCATCAATTCTTTTAATTGACTTCATAACGTGACTCTGGGTTAACGTGACTCTGGGTGAAATTGTACTAATTTGTTGCCTAGCGGTCCCGAAGAGTCAATTTTATTGCGTCCATAAAATAATAATGTTTTGCAACATTGATTTTCCACGATGGTAGAGATCTATGTTCTGTACAGTATTTTCTTAACTTGTGTTAACAAAGCAAACAATTTTGATCCAGAGCAAACTTGGCTGCCACATTGGATATTTGCTTATTAGGTAACAAATAAGGATCCACATAATACATATCTAGTTATGCCATCCCAACCATTTGAGAGTGGATGTGGATGTCAGATTTATTTTCTATAATACCATTTCATAATTATTATTTTTTCTTTCATAATTTGCCAAAAAAAAAAAAAAAAAAACTCACATGAGAATAACTTCTTCTTTTTTGATAATTTGACTAAATTGGCATTATTAATATAGAATAATTGTGGGTAATATAATGAAATAATAAAAGTATGCATCCCACAATACAAGGAAAGAGAAAAAAAATCAATGGACCTACACTTTTATTATTTCAGTAAGAGAAAAAAAAATTCTTGAGCGGCCGGAGACTTATATTATATTACCCAATAATTATATACCATATCAATCTCTCAATGTGGAATACAATATTATATTATTAATCCAACAATCATATCAATACCAATAGAGAAGTAATATTCTCCTAAGAATGAGAAAAGATACTCGATCAATAATATCAAATGTTTCATTAATAATCTTTTTAAATTGCTCTATAATTCATAAATTCTCTAACTCCATCACATGGATGAGACCTGCCAGTATAAAATATACTCTCTTTTTTCTGAAAATGTAAGATATATTCTAATATGAAAAGAATAGTTCCTTAAGAATACATGAAAAAGAGTCACTTAAAGTATGGCGAACATTAAATCTTAAATCTTTGCTCTAAGTTTGTAATTTCCTATTTAAGTAAAGGAAAAGTGTAGAGAGTCTAGAGACAATTTCTTGAGTTCAAAAAGTAAGATATGATTTTATATGTCATTCTTTGATCAAGAAAAAAGAGAGAGAAATTTTGATGTTCTTAAATCTGTGCGGTTAAAGAAGATGCAGAGCAAGAAAGCAAAGTCGAATGACTAATAACGAGTAAGAAATTCACAAAGAATAACAATGTTTACAAATGTTCTGATTAAGAAACAATACAAAACATTGATAATCTCTGTCTATTCATATCCTAAACCATGTCTACTAATTTATCACGTACACCTTTTGGATTTTTTTTATAAGCCAAAGATTGACGACCAATCTTCTTGAAATCCACATTGCAAGAATGCTCTTTTGAATATCTTTCACAAAACACATCATCGCAATGGCACTCGAATCCTAATAATCAAATATTTTTGTTGCAGATCCTGCACCTCTTTTTCTTGTTCTTCATACTCTCAGAATTAGTGAGAGAAATCGCAGCAAAGTCATCAGCCATAGTGCTCTCAGAAGCATATGTTGGTGATTGATCAACAACAAAGGTTTCATCCTTCAAGTTCTTGGTTTCATCTTCCAGACGATGTTTTTCTTGAGAAGATCATTGTAACACTTTGAACAAAGGTACATGTTTGCAGGAGAACCGTATAAGCCACAACCATTTGCACAAAGTGATTTGGAGAAAGACAAAGATTTCTGAATAAGAGACTCAAAGTTGAAATTGTTGGGTGTTAGAATATGCAGGGTTATTTATAAGGGATATTGGCTTGACGAGTAACATCCTCAAGATCCTATCTTTTCAATCTTGAAATGAATCATAAATAATATTTTGTATTAATAACATCCAACACAATCAAATGTTGGATATATTAATTGTAATTCACAGGTCCTCTAATGGTGTTTCTCTCAAACACACAAATTTACACACGAGAAATTTTTTTTCTCAGATCAATACCTCTTTTTATTATTGTACATGCCAAGTCCAATTTGAAATGGTTTACATAGTGCTATTTAATAGAAAATGACTAACACAATTAAAAGATTACCTAGTAACTCTAAGCATAATAATTGTCCACTAACAAATTCCTAAGGACACACCTCTTCATAACATAAACCCTTCATTTCTTATTTTTTAATTACTTTATTTATTAAGTTAAAACCCAACAAAACTCCCCCTTAAACTTTAATATCTCTTTCGTCCTTCATTCACATCTTCTTCTTGCAATTCTCAAACAACAACGTTGGCAGGGGTTTCGTGAAAATATCTCCAACTTGATCTCGGCTTGCCACATGACTGAGCTCCACCTTTCCTTCTTTGACCTGATCCCGGATGAAATGGAATCTGACATCAATGTGCTTTCTTCTTTCATGGTTGACCAGGTTCTTTGCTAACTTGATCGCTGATTTGTTGTCAACCCGGATCTCAGTTGAACCGACTTGCTCTTGCTCCAACTTGCTCAATAAATTTCTCAGCCAAATTGCATGGCACACGCACCACGATGCAGCTACGTACTCGGCTTCACATGTAGATAGAGTTACAATGGGTTCCTTCTTCGATACCAAGTAAACGCCGTATTCTCCATAAAAAATACATAGCCAGCCGTGCTCTTTCTGTCATCCACATCTCTGCATCAATCACTATCCGAGTAGCCTGTCAGCTTGTACTTGTCCGACTTCGAGTAAAGAAGTCCTTGAGAAATTGTTCCTTTCACATATCTTAGAATTCTCTTTGCCGCCTTTCAATGAGTATACTTCGGCTCTTCCATAAATCGGCTTATTATTCCAACACTCAGACACAGATCCGGTCTCGTACACGTCAAGTACCTCAGACTTCCAACTAGACTACGATAAATGTGAAACCAATGCGCTTAATATGAATAATTCAATCATACAAGAGTTTTGATGATAACAAACAAGCATAGAAGCGATGTTAAGGATAATACAACTCGCAACAATCAAAAGCCCAAGGAAGCAATTCAAACAAGTCAACAAGAGCAAATCAGTCAACACACAAGATCATCATTGATTCATGCTCTTGAGACCTTAGATCTAAATGTAAAGGTAATTGATTAATGATGCATAAAAGAGCTCAAAGGGTAATTAACTCTATGCATGCAATATCCATGTCATCTATCACTTGAAAGCCTTAATTGTTATGAAAAATATCCTTGACATGTTTAATAACTTCAAAACATCTTGTACAAGTCAAGGAAATACATTGAAAGTGATTAGAGACCAAAAGGAATACTTTACAACTCATAAAACTGCATAATTAAAAAAAGTAATCGAATACTCCATTGTCTGTATTCGAATACTCATGCTGAGAACAAAGTATTCGAATACTGTGAGAAAAGTATTCGAATACCAGTTGAAGTATTCGAATACCTCACGAATAGTATTCGAATACTTACTGGACAGTAAGCAGTATAACGGCTATAAACGGCTAGTTTTGCGAAAATGTGTGTTCAAAGGGTCATGGGGGGCCTCTCTAAATAGTGATCACTATTCACATTGATGGGACACTTTTTCTAATCATTATTCTTGCTCTATTTCATATCATTTGCTTACTTTCTATCATCTTGATCATAAATCACCTTTGAGCTCTAATCTTGTGTCATTGATCAATACCTATAAGCTTCAACTTGTATAATCTGTACTTCAAGAGTACATATCCCTTTCTAAAATACTCTCAATCTGTTCATTTGTGTTAAGGGTAGTGAGACCCTAGTGAAAAAGGTTGCTCATAACCTAAGTAAGTGAGTGGAAGTGTAAAGGTTTCAAGAATCGATATTCTTGAAGGTTGTAGTGGTTTGTCAAGCACCCTTGAAGCTTGATAATTTAGTGGAAAGTTGAACGGGCAATTTCAATCTGGATGTAGTGGTTTGCTCAGAATATTGATTTATTGCTTTTGAGCTCAGGCACGTAATACATGTCCAGAATTGTACCAACTTTTCCGTCCTTTTGCAAGAAACAGATCGTACCTCGGCCTTTTACATCTATCTTCGATGCATCTCCGAAAGACACATGCTTTGCTTCCAACGATCTTAATTCTTTAAATAAATGTTTGTGACAACACATGTGGTTACTGGCACCAGAGTCCAGGTACCACTTTGTCTCATTTTTTGAACTTGTTTCACCATGGGCTAGCATAAGAACTCCTCCATCTCTTGCTTCTCCTTCTGCAGCGAAGTTTGAAGTCTCGTCAATCTTTTTCTCATCACGGCAATCTTTAGCAAAATGTCCAACTCGGCCACAGTTATAGCATCTATTCGAGTTGCAATCTCTTGAGTAATGTCTATACTTCCCACATTTGTAACATTCCACGTTTGATTGGTTTGTCCATCGACCTCTTCCAC